AGCCGCACAAATCAAACCCGTCGTCCAATTGGTTGACAAACTCGCTATGGATTACGTCCAGAAAGTGTTGAGCCGTCTCTCGAATTGAGCCCAACTGAAGGCACTCTTCGGTCCAATTGAGTCCAATAACGGGTCGTGTCATACGAGTGGCCACCGGAACGAACAGATGGTAAGTGCCGTCAGTCGGCGGTAAGTAAAACACTTTTCGGCCCTCTTTTATACCATTGAGATAAACGACTCGTTCTATTGGTATATGAAATACTTGTTTATCGGCCGACACGACGGTTGTATCGGTTATATTGTGAGTTTTGGTCGGTCGCTGAGTGATCGCCATCTCTGCCGATGTCTTCGTCGCGACACCACTACTGGCCGTCGGCGACGATAGACTGATCTGTCGGATGCGTTCAATCGTCAAGTTCTGGATCTCCTGAGTGGACAAAACTAACTCAAAGTCCCGTTCGAAGACTTGTTTGGTCTCAACGCTTAGCAGTGAATCCATTCCCAGTTCTGCTAAACTTGTCTTCGCGTTACACTTCGCTAAGCCTAATATACGGGACACCGCTGTCAACAGATCCTTACAATCGGCCAACGAATCACATTTACTTGTCTTCTTGTCTCTGAAGACAACACTGGAACAGATGGTGACACCAGACTCGAGCAACTGATCCAACGTTTGTAAGCATGAATACATGCGCTGCGAACGCGCGACGCCTACTGTATAGTCATTGGTTGTGATATTGTCGGCCACATAACCGACGTCACCGACTGGACCCCATTGGATGGCCAGAGCCGGCAAACCCTCGCGTTGTCTCTGTTCGCACAGTCTCTCCATCACGGCGTTAGTGAAGCCGTAATTACTTTGACCCGCGTTTCCAAGCCATGTGACCGCCGATGAAAACACCACAAAGTGATCCAATTGTGGACACATTTGTCGCGACACATGATCCAAATGTACCAATGGTTTGGATTTCGATTCAAACACTTTGCTAAACGAGTCGATCGACTGATTTTCTAAAAAGCCGTCACTTATTACTAATGATAAGTGAAATATACCGCCGATTGGACCCAATTTCATGGCCTCGACGAACAGATCTTTGGCATCACTCACGGAATCAATCGGTTGAGTCCACACAACTATCTCAATGCCAGTGTCTTTGAAATACTTGAGCCGCCAGTATTGATACGGGTGTTTAGGACCAGATCTCGAGGTGACCACAAACCTTTGAACCCCCCTCTCGAGCATCCAATCAATGATCTCTAAACCCATTCCTCCCAAACCACCGGTAATTATATATGTCTTGTGTGAGAAGAATACCGTCCGAGGAATGGCCGCCATTTTGACGGCATTAAAATGAAAGGTTTGTTTGAAGGGCTCTTCGTCTCGGATTTTGACGATAACTTTGCCGACGTGTCGACCGCTGGCCATAAAACGAAAGGCTTCTTCGCATTGGTTGTGGTCATACAGAGTACGGTTGAGGGGCTGCACAACACCTGCGCTGATGCCCGCGTCGATCAGTTCCCATATCCTCTTCTTATCCCTCAACATTGTCGCCGATGTCTTGTCGTTAACCTTAAACATGGCATCAAATTGTATGCCTTCAAAAGTCTTGTTTCTCAACAGATCCGTCACATCTGGAGAGAGAGAGAGAGAGAGAGAGAGA